GACACGAATGACTTTTTTGCACATAAATAAAAATAGTGTGAAAATACCTTTCTACCCGATCCCATAAGTCTAAATCAGCCCAGTTATTTAAGTTTTTCGTAAATCAATCTTTGAAAAAAGAAAACAAATAGCATCAAAAATTTCATTATTACGATTCTGTTGAATATATTTTTATGCAGATTTTTTAAGCCTAATCCGTTTTGTCATCTGAGGGGACTTTTTTCAAAAACTTCTTTAAGAAACTATTTTTATTCATAAAAAACTCCATTTTTGCAGGTATTTTCAAATCGGTCCAGCTCGCTTAAATCTTAATATTTTTCCGAAATATTTTGGTGGACGTCTTAAAATATAATAGATTTTATAATTCCAATGGAAAAACGGTACTGATTTTTTTTTTGTATGGGTAGTGATGCAGTCTAATATATGTATGTATACAGATGTACAAGGTTTCACTTACTGACTAACAAAGGGTGCATTCTAGAGCTGGAAAACTATCGATAGTCCCGGCCAGCGATAGTTTCGATAGTCGATAGTCACAACCATCGATAGTATCGACTAGCATCTAATCGTGGCTGCGCACATTTGGCATTGAAATCTACTGAGGTTTCTAAATAAAAGCGACTGATGCTTTGTATTTTGACGTTTTGGAATGCACCCTTTGTTAGTCAGTATTACTGCGCTACGCTACGCTTTGCGCTGGTGTTCGTTCATCCCCCGTTTTTAACGTGAGTAGGCTTAATGTTACAAAAACAGCACCCTTTGCCAATGTCTGGTCAGTAAGTGAAACCTTGTACTCTTCCTACTGATGTGATCTTTTGACTCTATTAACATGTCAAATCAAAGAGATAAATTAAATGTCAATACACAAAATATATATGATGGATCCAACTATAAATAAAAATAACCTACGAATTTTTTTGTCTTTGTTTCCTTTAAAATACTGGTACATCTATATACATACATATATTAGACTGCATCACCACTACCCATACAAAAAAAAATCAGTACCGTTTTTCCATTGGAATTATAAAATCTATTATATTTTAAGACGTCCACCAAAATATTTCGGAAAAATGTTAAGATTTAAGCGAGCTGGACCGATTTGAAAATACCTCCAAAAATGGAATTTTTTATGAATAAAAATAGTTTCTTAAAGATGTTTTTTGAAAAAATCCCTTCAAATGGCAAAACGGTTTAAGCTTAAAAAATTTACATAAAAATATTTAAATAAAATCGTAATGATGAGATGCTGTTTTTCCACTTTTTTTAAAGATTGGAATAAGAAAAACTTGAATAACTGAACCTAAACTCTTCCGATTTAGACTTGTGAGGTATCATTGGAAAGGTATTTTCTTACCTTTTTTATTTCTTTACTAATAAGCTCATTCAGAGGACGAAAGAGAAAGGTAGGATGAACGAACATCATTCAAAGTTGAACTAAGATGTGTTGGTATTTGAAAAACAAAAATTGGGACACGAATGACTTTTTTGCACATAAATAAAAATAGTGTGAAAATACCTTTCTACCCGATCCCATAAGTCTAAATCAGCCCAGTTATTTAAGTTTTTCGTAAATCAATCTTTGAAAAAAGAAAACAAATAGCATCAAAAATTTCATTATTACGATTCTGTTGAATATATTTTTATGCAGATTTTTTAAGCCTAATCCGTTTTGTCATCTGAGGGGACTTTTTTCAAAAACTTCTTTAAGAAACTATTTTTATTCATAAAAAACTCCATTTTTGCAGGTATTTTCAAATCGGTCCAGCTCACTTAAATCTTGATATTTTTCCGAAATATTTTGATGGACGTCTTAAAATATAATAGATTTTGTAATCCTGGTGGAAAAACCGCGACTTTTTTTTGGCTATACAGTCTAATATATATATGTAGATGCTTTTTCTATTAACGGGCACTTATGTATGTTTTTTTTATTTTTTTTTCTCTTACACGCAGCTATTTTGCAGCATCAGACATTATGGAGCTAGTTTCAAAATCAAATATGAGCACATTAGAGGATCGTTCAACAAAAAGTATGGGTAAGTCATTCAACTAGATATGTATGTACATATGTATGTATGTATAAATTTTAAATTTTTTACGCCGAGCCACTATTATTCAGTGGGACTCTGGTTTGAATCCCGAACTGAGCCAACATCTAAACTAAAAAATTATAAAGCGATCGCTGATCGGCAGCAAAAATTAGGCGAGGAAAATGTTGGAAATCACGAAGCATAGATCTATGGAATAGAATATATGTTCAGACAGTTTCGCAAATGACGCTTGCCACTTGATTTTGGAAGATCAATGTCCTCGCATGTTTTCAATAATAAAGGCAGTTGCCAAGCAGACATAAACTAATACACAAGGCGTACTTAATATATGGTGTCAGAATTTTAATTTTCCTTCAGTTTTGTTTTTCTAGAAGTACATAGTATGTACCAAGGCACATTGAACAGGTAGTATCAGTAGAGCAGCTGATTTGATTTTTTTTTTTTTTTTCAAATTATTTGGTCTCAAAAACGTCAAATATTTTTAATTTCTTCTCACAAAAATTCTAAGTTGTTAAAATCTATTTGCATGTGAACCCTTTTTCCATACAAAAGAAGTTATTGAATAGCAGCTTTTGGAAGATTCGCCCAACTTAGCAGCACAACCCTTGATTACGGGGCCTTGCAAAGGATGGATCAATGCTCCGAGAAGCAAACAAATTTACTAAGAAAGAAAGTTGCAATAATTTTTATTTTTTCCAATTTCGCCATATTGGATCCGCCATTTTGAATTTCGAAAATCTGACATCATATTTGAAACCAGCGACCTCATAAACTATGTTTCAAATCAATTTGGTTACTTCTCGACTTTTGGCCAGCAAATGATAGTCGCAAGACCATAGTGCGTAGGAGTGTTTTTTTTTGTTTCAAAGTTTATTGATCTCAAGTACCCCGGTTCTGGTACTTACCCAACAGATTCCCGTTTTTATCACTATAATGTTAATTGTAAATTGTCTGTAAATTAAAGCTTACCAAAAAACGTTAAACTCCTTCTAAGGAAGTATTTAGGCTAGGTTAGGTCCTTTACACTCAGCGGCGTGCGGCGAACTCTTTTTTTTGTTTTTTTGCTTGTAAAGTGGTCTAATGTGCACGCAAATATATTCATTTATTTTCAGAAAAACTCAAAATGTTAGACATCACACGAGACAGACCGGTTAAAGTAGCTGTTAAGGTGGCTGTACCAGTGCGAGATCATCCAAAGGTAAATACGACTAATAGAACAAAGCTACTCTTTCCATTTTATTTAACTAATTTTCCCTCGGTTAATTGCCTCTCAGTTCAATTTCGTCGGCAAATTATTGGGCCCCAAGGGAAATTCTATGAAACGTTTGCAGGAGGAGACAATGTGTAAGATGGCAGTGTTGGGTCGCGGATCGATGCGCGATCGCAAAAAAGAAGAAGAATTACGCGCCAGTGGTGATAGTCGGTATGCCCATCTATTCGAGGATTTGCATGTAGAAATTTCAACATTTGCTGCGCCCGCCGAAGCACATGCACGCATAGCATATGCGTTGGCTGAAGTGAGGCGGTTTTTGGTGCCGGTGAGTTTATAGTTCTTGAAATCTTGTTGTTTGGTTTTCCGCATACCAAAAGTGTTTAGAATTATAAATGATTAAGCCTGATCTGGCTGTCCGGCCAACCGTGGACACAATAAGTGGACCTACAATTGGGATACCGAATATTGAGCTTAACGAATAGAACGTTGATTTTTTTAGATTTTACTTAATTTAGCAAAGCTCTTCCATTGTACTAAAACTTCCCTACACTCCCTTTAGGACTATCACGACGACATACGACAGGAGCAGATGTGGGAAATGCAAGCGCTGAGTTCCTCATCATCCTTGACCTACACCGACGATCAGCATAGTCCCAATCGTGGTGGCGTCACCGATATGGATACATCGAATGATGATAAGCTGGAGATGGAACCTAACGGCATGGAGTGCAATACACTCGACAAAAATGATGCACAACAGTTGAGTCTGAGTAGTGAACATCACCAGCAACAACAACATCACCAACAACAACAACAACTCCAACATCAACAACAACAACGCAATTTGCACCATTTACTACACCAACCGCCGCCGTCAACACGTGGCCCCAATCCTACAGTCGCCGTAGCAGCTTCCCATCATCACACCAATCTTTTGCCGACCAGCACTGATGGAGGAGGGCTTTGTCAGAAAACGAATGTCACTAGCGCAGCAACAACAAGTAAGTTAGCGCATTACAATCCGTCATATATGTATGCATACAAACCACATACCTGAGTGAGAAACCACAATAATTTGGCAATTAAAGTGAATTCCTTCCCACTAGTACATCCGACTGCCATGACAGTTGCATTACAACATCAATTGACCGCCGCTGCTAGTATTGGTAACTTGTTGAAGCCATCGGCGACTACATCAGCGGGTGTGCCTGCAGTGGCTGATTTACACACAGCGGCAGCAGCAGCAGCGGCGGCGGCGGCGCAACACTCCAACAACGCTACGGGCATACCGTTGTCGAGCGATGCTGAATCGCCCATGGCAGCCACACTGGGTTTGTTGGATCCACCCACGAGCGCATTGTTGCATCCGGCGTTGCGCAGTGTCAAGGCAATCAATATTGGTGAGTTACTGTGTGGTGGAGGGATAAAAGGGACAATGGGGAGGGGTGTGAAAAATATAATTTGCGGTATTGATGTGGTTCTCCTCTCTATTTTCGTTTTAGCCGGTGGCCTGGCACGCAAGCGTCCACTTTTAGGTGTGCCCCGTTCAACTATGAATCCAACTAAGCGAACTGTTATGACTTTACTCGCAAGAGCTAAAAATTCGCAGGCTTTACATGCGGTACGAAATCCAATTGCAGCCGCTACGGCGGCTAGATTCGCTGAGTAAGTACATAAACAACACATACATAAGTATTTATGAGTTGAAAGTACATTTAGGTGGGAAGTATTTTTGTGGGTTAGAATTGGTTTATGCGGTTATAATGACGGATTTTCACTGGGCACTGCATGACCAAAAATTTTAGTGACAGATGTGGGCATTAAAAATTTGTAATTTCATTACCTCAATAAAAATATTAATGGTTGATTAATGACTATTTTTGTAAAAGTAGTGGCGCGGGAATTTTTTAATGCCTAATTTTGAATCGGCCATAACGGTTATAACTTTTTTTTAAACTACTTTTTAATGATTATTTATTGAGTTTTATTTATTGCTGAACAAATGATAGCAATTTTTCTAGTTTTTTACTTCTTTGCTTAGTAAATAAATATTATTTTCTTAGCTTGGAATATTTTTTATTTTTTTGCTTAGAAGGCCAAAGTAGCCTTTGGTGTTTTCCTTAAAGGCGAATTCATCGTACTAGTTCAGAAGTTTTCTTCCATGTGGTTATTGCTGTGTTTCTCTCTCTGGGAGAGCAACTTTGAAAAGTTCTGAACACTTTTGAGCTTTTAACTCGACATCAACTTCAGTTTAAAACTAGAATGAGAATCCGCTTTAAGGAGCGGTAGTTAGCTCAAAAATCGCCAAATAAATGCCATTAAAAGTAAATATGTAAAACTCGTACGGTTAAGGACTAATATATACTAAGGCTAAACCCAAGACAAATCCGAAGACGAACCGATTACGGCAAAAAGAAAATCCCAAGAAGAAGACCGAGACGAATACGAAGATGGAAGCGATTATTACGAAGGCGAAGACGAAAAAGAGGCCGATTAAGTATCTGAAGACAAGAATAAAAAAACACGAATACGAATAAGGCGAGGAATACGTATGGGAAAACAAATCAGAACACGACTACGAAGTTAAATACGAAATTTAATACAAAAACGACAAATGACATTACAATTATGATTACCATTACCATTAGAAATACGACTACTATTGCCATTAGATACCAACTATTCCCATTACCACCATTATCTCTATCCTTGTCCTTTTCTGTGTACGTTTGCATGAAAAGAAACCAAAAAAATCATTTATTTTCTAAGCAAAAATAAAACTTGGATAATAACGATTATTTACCCAGGCAATAAATACAACTAAAAAAATGATAAGTATTCTCTGAGCAAAAAATACAAATATTAAAATATTTCTCATTTATACGCCTAGTGGACAATGTGCGAAAAATATATTTGTTAGGCTATGGACACTTCTGTAAATTTTATGAATGTTGCTAAAATATAAGCGATTAGGAATATCCGAATCAAAAGCAGAACGTCGCTTGACGCGCAATAGCTCGTATCCGCCAAATGCAACACCACGTATGAAGTGGCACAGGAAAAAAATTGTTTTCGTTATCCCGTCTCAATTTTTGCCTATTTCCCAATTGTAATAGTCTACTTCAAAGAAAACGACCGTACTCGTTCAATGTCACTCAACAACTCCTATTTTATTGCATCAGCATTTTTGGAAAGTTCCCGAAGTAACTTATGTATGTACATCAAGTGAAAGAGATAAGCTTACATTGACACATAGTATGCTAGAATGAATACATTATATTGATTAAGAATGATGATGAAGAATAAAGGATAATAGACAAACTTACACTAACGGCTAATATTCAAATTAACCCTACATCGATACTTCTATATACTTAGGGCTAAGGAGACATACTAAGGGTTAACTGCTTATTTATTGCTACAAAATTTTATTGGTAAATAATTACAGTAGAAGTTCATATTCAAAAGTTTTGAGGAAAATAAGTTTTTTTTTGCTATCTTGTGAAATTTACCTTATACGTGGTTTTGCATTTGACTGATATGTGATTTGCACACCAAACGACGATAAATAAATTATTCACACCAAATATTTAGTTTCCAAATGCAACCCTACAACTTTTCTTAAAGATTTCAATACCATCTTCGAAAATGTTTTCCTATTCTTTCAGTCCTTTACAGATGCTTACCTCCCCCTTCATTTTATCATCACAGCCAATGGATCAGTCGATGCTAACATTTCCTAAAGAAAGTCTAGCACAAGGAGTCTAAGTACTGGAACAAAAAAAAAGGTATTTTGAATTGAAAAATTTTGATCCTTATTGAGCCCGCCTCCACCTACACACCAATGTACTACAATTAAGATATCACAAAAATATTTAATGAATATATTTAAACTTAAACAAAAACTCGCCCAACGCAAATAAAAAATTTAACTTCAAAGCAAACAAACGTAAAATGTTAAATAAAAAAATAAAATAAATAACTAAATAAATGAATTATACAGATATTTATACAATTATACCTAAACTTATCGGAATGTTGAGGTTGACGACACATTACGAGTATTATGAGGAAACACATCTTTAGGGACTAACTGGCAACATAAGTGTACACGACAAGTAACTTTGAAAAAACAAAAAAAAACAAAAACCAAAAACCAAAAACAACAAAATCGCAATATATTTTATTTACACATTAAAACTAAACACTTAAAAACTATATTAATTAAATCAAAGAAGAGCAAAGCAAAACAAATACATATACATATAAGCAAATGCAAGCAACGTCTTAAAGAAATATTTAATAATAATAAAAAAAAACTCTTAACAACGCAAAAATTTGTTTTATTCTACATATTCACATTACAAATGAAAACAAACACTAAAAAAAACACACGAAGACATAAACAAAAACAGCTAAACTGCTAGACATATTAATTTAATATAGTTAATAAAACATGGGAAATTAATAAATTAAGATTTAAAAAAGAGAAAAAAAACAGCATTGCAATTTAATGTGAAAAAAAACTTTAATGTGAGACATAAACATCAAACGAAATTACTTTAAAGCATTACTTTAAAACATTACAAATTTTTAAGAAATATATTATATATTTATATTGTATTAACATAATTTTTTTACGATTTTAGACTTGAAAACGCAATTAGTTTCATGTTGCTATGAATGTGTGTACTAAATAAATAAATATATAAATGTATGTACATATAAATAAGTAAATATGTATGTATATGTATTTGTATTAGTAGTGTACGTGCATGCAATACTAACAAACTAAACACATACTTGCATACATACATACATACATACAATCATATACATACACAAAAAAGCTGAGCGATGATTATATAAAGCATAAGCTTCCGTGAGCTGGATGCAGTGCATTCTTAGCCACCCAAGGCAATGGTTTCAAAGCAATGCAATGAAAATGTATGAAGCAATGCATTTGTTTAGTTTATTGATTACTCAATTTAAAGTGAAACTTCTTCAAGTGGAAACAAAGTTATGAAAGAATGTTACTGTGAACTAAAACAAAAATAAATCATATAAAATACAATGAAAATTAAAAGAAAAATAAACGAAATGAAATTAAATAAAATAAGACTATGCAATGAAATGAAATAAAATTAAACGATATAAAGTAAAACCCAATAAAATAAAATAAATAATAGCCAAGAGGTTTTAAATTTCCATATTTCTCTTTAACTAACTGTCCATCGGTGCTACTGCGTAGGTCGTGCTTGTTTGGCCGAGCTTCTCCTCCAACTTGTGGTGCGCGTCCTAGTGTTATAACACAAATGCTTTTTCATAGGGATGTAGTACTTTGGATTGTTGGCTACAAACTTCTCTTATAAAATTGCCCGCCCTCGTCCGTTATTTTCTTTATTTAAAGTTTTTTTTTTTGATATCTATAGTTTTTTTTTAATCTTGATTTTTCGAATAATGAATAAAACAGATTTTTTTATCGAACAAACCGGTTTTTTTTTCATTTCATACAAATCTTGAACTCTCAATAAAAGTTTTCAGTTTTTCGAAGTTTTCAAGGCTTTTTCCAGTTTAAAATTATATGCTAAGACCTAGGTTATATGGGTATGAACAGTATATCATATTTGATTAAACTTTTTCCACGTGTTTGGCCGAGCTTCTCCTCCGATTCGTGTTCTGCAGCTTGATGTTGTAACACAAATGGAGCGATCTTACTACACCTCCGAGGAAGCTTTTTTATGGCTGAAGCACACTCGGAGGTTTGCCATTGTCTGCCGAGAGGTGCCCGATATATGTATGAATAACAATTTTTTTTTTATGTTGCTGGGATCAGAAATGGGACCATGGACCTCCTGAATGGCAGTAGGCACATCTAAGCACACGGCTACGGCGGCAAGAGCCCTTCACAAATCCGAATAAAATCATAAAAAATGCAATAAAGTATAACAAAAAGTAAGACCAAACGTGAACTTTTCACTAAGTTTTGTTTTTATTGGTTTGCATTTTATGTTTCGTAATTTAAAAACCAAGAACCGGTTTTTTTCAAATTGCAGTTTTTCTAATAACGCGAAACCCGGTTTTAGAAAAAAAAGCGAATAATCGAACACCCTAGGACCTATATTTGTTGAATTATATGCTCTCAAATTACAGAGTCCTTGGTGGATCCTTTGGAGAACTATGAAACTGGATAACAATACTCTCCACTCAGCTTCGACATGAACGTGCGTATGTGTCCTTAGCGTTTAGCGGAATTTCGATGGAGGTCCATTGATGGTTTGCGGCGCTTACAATTCCAGCTGAACTCTAAAACTCCAGAAATTCGAGTCAGTCCGCTTTTACGATTCAGCTAAAAAAATTTGTTATCTAAACTACTGACCTTATTATTTTGTCGCAATGCATTATGCACTTATTCACTTAAACGCACTTGTTGATAAAGCTAAGGGTACATTTCCTCGGCCCAAACTCTCATTTGCATATAGAATTTTGCCATCTTTAGAGCCTCGCCTGGAGCTGTCGAATTATTATTTTCTAGTGGAGTTCTTGTGGTTTCTTCGAGTAAGACTTTAATTTAATAAATTTCACAATAGACCTAAGATCGCAGTGCACAGCCTCTAACAATCTAATAAATTTCACGTGCGCTTAAATCCGGCTCAGGCGTCATTCCCCCGAGTTGTTTCATAACTAGCTTATACACCAGATCCCTGGCACCCTTGATGACATGCTTAGACAGCTCCTCCTCTTTTTTTCTATTTGCTGTCTATTTAGGCATTATTGAGTCATTTCTTCGGCATTTACAGTCGTGTTTTAAAGTATCATATATCGGTGTTTTTGTCTCGAAGAGAAAATTTTTTATTCCAAACGTCATTGACCTCAGCTTTCCCGTTCCGGCTTTAATTTGCTGATATTAGGGTGGTACGTTAGGGTGATAAGAAGTGAAATCAACGAAAAATTTATATTAGAAGCACAGAAATATGAGTGTTCTTCCAAATATCTTGACGTTACGTTGCCTCGCTGCCGGCAGCTTTCATCTTAAAAAAAAAAAAATATTTCCATAATATGGCTAAAAAATACAGGGCAAAATTAGAATTTTCTATTTGTAAAAAAAATGCTATAATTTCACCTGTTGTTCATAAAATTGTAAATAATGCTACCTACTTTCACTCAAAACGAAATGCACTTTGGCAAGGCAATAAAGAAGAGGTTGCCTTATAAAGTTGTGGAAAAATTTGCTTAAAAAAGTCGGAAGCATTTTTTTCGCAATGAAACTGAGGAAGGTTAATTTTCACTGTAGCACCATATACATATGTATGCTTAATTGATGACGGTTACCCCTTTCCGCGCGCGAAACATCGCTCAAGCTTTCCGCTTCCACAAATTTTTTCATGAAAACTAACTCAAAACTTAACAATATGTGTATGTACATACATACATACTTATAAGATAAAAATCGATTATGTATTGCATGCTACATTTTGATGTATGCGTGTGCGTTTGCAAAAATAAAATATAAAAACAAAATATATGTATACATATTAATGGGAAATACATTTAAAATACATAAATATTTACAAACTTAACTAAAGCACCAAACAATAAATGCGCTCACACAATAATTAATTGAATTAACAAAAAAAAAAAACTAATGCAAAACAACACATTTTATAATGGAGTACTTGAAAAATGCAGCTTTAATATCATTTTTGTTTATTTCTTCTTTTATTTTTTTTTTAATAAAAGGTATTATTTTGTATAGACCCTATTATTTTTTTAAATTTGTTCCACCATTTCTAAGTTAAATACGGGAATCCTCTTGATTCTTTCAAACTGTTTTTGTATTTTTTTTTTTTATTTAAATTACCCTACATAGTTTAACTGCGATTTTAGTTTTTCTCTCTGACGTCAAGACTTTATAATTATAATTTCAAAGATATGATTAATTCCAAAAATTATTTTAAAAAATTCAGTACAATGTAGAATAAAAATATGGGTAGGCACCAAATGAAAGAGAAATTTCTGTAGAATTTAAAAAATTTAAAGTTTTGGGGTTCACAAGGGCGAATAGGTATTGAAAAACCTTTTAATCGTTTTTTTTTTTAAGCTAATAAAGTTAGAAGGACGAAATTCGAGGATGTTGTCGAGTTTATATTAGTCATTACATATGACTTTTTCAAAAATAAATATTGCAGAATTTGAAGGATAAAATTTTAAAAGGACATTTTCAATGCATACCCGTCTTTACGCACCAAAAAATTTAATCTTTTTTAATTTTACAGAATTTTCTCTTTAACTTGATACCCACACTGTTTTTCTAAGTACATTGCACCGAATTTTTCAAATAGTTTTTTTAGTTACTAATATTTTTCAAATTGAAAAGTCCTTTAAAAACATAAAAAAGGCAATTTTACTATACTTGGCCCATGGTTTTGAGAATATATTGATTTTTTTGTGTGTAAATTGAATGTCGCACGGTGTTATATGTACTATAATGAGCTAGACATTTATAAAAAAAAAAAATATTAAAACAAGAGAAATATAGCCAAAACTGGTCAACATTAGGTGTAAATTATAAATCCCGAAAATCGCGGGATTCTTGGCAAATAATCCCGGGATTTTCGGGACTTTAAAAGACCGGGATCCCGGGATGAACATCCGTAGTATTTACAAATGTAGATATATTTGTAGTGCGTTAATCATTTTTCCTTTTTTTTAATTTTACTTTTTTAAATTTGTTATTTCTTTTTATAAAAAAGTTCGAAATATTTCCTACACAATTTAAATAAAGTTTTTTTTTTTTGGAGAATTACCTAATCATTGAAATCAATTAAAACCTATATGAATTTAACAGCATATGTGTTCATACATACATATATGCATTCCCACATACGTCATTGTACGCACCCATCAATACCCTGTAGGGAAAGTCTCTAGGTTTACATTGGTTGCCTCTGCATTATTTTTTCTTTAGCTTTCGCACCAGTTTAAAATTCCACAGTTTAGATGTAGTTCGCTTTGCATTCCATGCCAGTTCTTGAGTGCGCAGAGGTGCTTGCTATAATTATTGGTTAGATTCTGAAGGCCCAAGCCTATCAGACGCAACTTGTTAAAATGATAATAAACATTTTTTTTGTTTTGTGTTTACAACCTATGCAAAAGCATCTGTGATGTGCGAACGAAAACGTATTCAAACAAAAA